GTAGTAGATAAGATGAGAAATAAGAAGAAGTAAAGAGAAAAAGACGAGATGTGATAGATGTGATGAGATAAGAAAAAATATCAATGTATGCTATGAAAGAAAGAGATTAGATTGCAAAGTAAAATAAAAAAGAGAAATAAAAGAAGAATGGATGAAAAATGAAAACATATTAGAATATAACTCACCAGACTTGTGGTCTAATGTAGTATATATTTTCATGTTTTGTAGGTTCAGGTAGAAGTCGTGGTACAAGAGAGGACTAGAGCACAAGGACCTAGATTAGGAGTAGATTTATTTCTCTGTATATTCCTTCTTGCTTATTTAATAGATAGATTTTAATTGTAAACCCGTGATTAAACCTGGGATTTAAATTGTTTTAATTTTTTTTATAGAATTCTGCATTGTAGACACAACTTTGATAATTTCCTTAGATACTATGTTAGAAAATCTGAGTCGTTAGACCTATTATATTAGCTTAATTGAATACAAAATGACAGTGACAAGTACAAAGACAAAAGTGTTCTCTTGTAATGGGAGAAAACAAATCTAATGTGACTGGTTGTCAAATAAGAACCATGAATGAAACTTTTGAAGAATACATGAAATGAGAACGTAGCACTTTTCAGTGTTATCCTCAATATATCATTTTATGGAAACTTCTGAAAACCATAGGGGTGGTTCTGAATTTTTGTCTAACAACATTTCTAGTCTTAGAACTTGATAGTTATATGGATAGGTGGAGAAAGACTTGTTTATTGTAACGACCCAAAAACAGTGATAAAATTTTTATTTTTAAAAACCAATAGTTTCATTCATCATGCGTCACCAAGTCAAATGCAAAATACAGTATCAAAACATTAGAGTACAAATATCCAGATAATGCGGAAATCATGAAGGGGATGTTGTGCCATCACGTCGGGTTCTTCCCCTTCGTACCGGAAGTATCTGAAACCATAAATATAAACTGTAACCATAAATCTTAGTGATTTACCCAAAGCACCACATACCAAACATATAATTGGGCCTAACCCTAGGGTATATCCCAACCCAATACACAAGTATAGGCCCAGCCTTGGGGCTCAGCCCTGGCGTTTCTTCCAACCCATCATGTACTCATGGGCCCAGTCATGGGTTTTATTTTAACCTAGTTATACAATAATGGACCCATCCATGGGGTCTATTTCAACCCGATCATACAAACATGTAAGAATCATATAACATCTAGCATTCCATATAAACAATATGGTGGGCCGACATTGGTGCCTTCGACCCATAAGCGCAGTGAGAGGACTCACCTCAAACTGAAGATAACTGAATCACACACTCGAGTTGCTGCTAACACGGCTCCTCACACTAATCAAAACCCAAAGACAACCCTAGTTAATAATCAGGGTTTAACCCATAATTAATGGTCTAAATCATAATTCATCTTACTAAAGGCAAAAGACCATTTTTCCCCTCCCATGCATGACCCAAATACAAGGCCCAAAACCCCTAATAACCTAAGGCCCAAAAATGGCCCAAGAGGGTTTTCTGGGAGTACGCCCTGCGTACTGACATTTACTCCCAGCGTACAGCTTCGACTTGGAGGGCTTACGGGGCTGCAACCCAGTACGCCCGGCGTACTCATGGTTACGCCCAACGTACCCTTCAGACGACAAAATCCTCTATTAAGGTATATTAAGGTCTTAATACCTTAAGACTTAATGTCCAAACTTCAAATCTAAACCTATTGAACGTCTAAAACTATAAAGTTGTAACCTTTATGCCTTCGCATGGCAAAAGGAAGCTCAAAACCAAAACCTTAACTTATATTACCATCTACAACTCCATAACTCTTGCATGGATGAAAATACTCATGAGACTAAGGTTTTTAGGAAAAAAGGTCATAACTTGCAACCTAACAAGATCTAGCAAGGTAAGCATCAAGATTTGATCTTTATACCTACTAAAGATGTACAAAGGTGATTAGATGTTGGATCCAAGAGCTTGAGTGCCACACCACAACTCCAAGGGTCTTCCTTCACCACTAAGAACACCACAATGTCACTAAAATGCTTCAAAAATTTCACAAAAGAATTAGGGTTTTGAGATGAGGGCTAATAGGGATGGAGGCTGGAGGTAAGGAAGGGTTTTGAGGCCATAAAGTCCTTTAAATAGGGTCTAAACCCTAAAACTAAGGTTTTTCCTCTACATGAGTACGCCCAGTGTACACACGCTTACGCCTAGTGTACGAGAGGAAACATGCGAACCGTTTTAGTGATCTACGAACGACGTACTTATCTCGTACAGCTAGCGTAGGTACCAACTTTGCAAAAAATTTAATGAAACAAGTTCAATATGAAGAATACCTGGAACACTAGCGTTACAGTTATTATCTTATATTTTATATTTTCAACAATCATATTTTTTTGAACGGATAACATAAACTCACAAAATCCTACTCCTAAACTATTTGTTTTGTCCACCACGGGACTTGAGCCCTCAACACATTAGAAAATGACATATTTTCAATATTTTAACACTGCTAGGTCAAAAACCGTTTGATATATCTATCTATCTCTTATAAAAGACGTCATTCAAATGAATGTGGTTCAAGATAGACCATCTATCTTAAACCATATTCATTTGAAACTCTCAAACTTTTCACCTTATGCTACTTAAATGATTATTCAATTCAAATATTTGGCTTATATAAGAAACATTTGCTTATCTTCTCTTTTTATTTTGCTTTATCTTCTTTTTTTCATTTTCCTTATCGATTGAAGAGAGTGCATTAGAATGAAGAAGTTTCAAGTATGTTTGCTTTTATTCTTTCCACATATTTGTTCCTTATATATTTTTAAAATCCATTAGAATTTTGTTGTGTACACGATCAAATCCAAAAGTTTTTAGTATTTAGAGATGATGATGAATTATCTAAAGGTTATACATTTAGAGCTAAAAGAAAATTTAGTCAATTTTTATGTTTTATGTGTTGAAAATGTGTGTGTCAAAGAAAAAAAGAAGATAGAAACAACATAAAAATTTTAGGTGAAGGTTGTACATTTAGAGCTAAAAGAAAAGTGTTGTGAATTTTGATGTTTTTGAAGTTTTCTTAAAAGAGAATTGTGTTTAGATGAGTTCTTTTCACATCGATAAAATAAGTATATGAAGAAACTACAAATATTAATGTGTTTAAAGTATGTTTTTCAATAGAAAAGTACGAGGATTTTATGGATGTAATTATTATCCTTTTATCACCATCATGACTTTCATTTTAATGACATGATTCTTTTAATTCTTATATTTTCAAGAGGTATACTTTGAAAATTTTCCACATCATAGCGTTGAACTTCCATTTTTTTTTATTACAAAATGGTTTTTGGAAGAATATATATTTCGATGATTGTGCTATTTTAATTTAATACACATAAATTTGATTAATTTTATTAATCGTATATTGTGGTTGAAATTTATCGACTACTAACTATAAACATATGACAATTATTATTTTTAAAATTGTAGGTCCTTAAGTTTGTATACACTGCATCTTCCAAACATATATTTGTAATTTAATACATATAAATGTGATTAATTTCATTAGGTAGTTATGAAATTGTTGTCTTAAATATATATAATTGTGTGTTATGTAATTGATTAATATGTTTGCATTGTGGAGCAAAATAACATACACTCTCATATAAATAAATACACACAAAATAATAGATGCATATAATTTAGTTTTTAATAATTGGTTTGAAGGCTTTTGGAATAATATTTGGTTTAGACATTAGATTATTATATTATTCATTTAATTACTAAATATAATTTAAGTATATATTTAATTAAGTATCATAAGTATCAACTAAATATCATGAGTGAAAAACCTCTTTAGTTGAAGTGGTTTAATTCTAAATAACCTTTAATTGGGAGTTGAAAAGCTGAAAATATTAAAATAGAACTTGAATGCAATTAACAAATTTTTATTACATCAATACGAGTAAATATATAAATTTTAACTATTGAATAAAAATGTATGTGTATTCTATAGATGTTATTATTATTTTTTTTTTGGCACTCATATCGTGACCATTATTTTAATTGTACAATTATTTTAATTTTAATTTTTTTAAGAGTTGTATTTTGAAAAAATTTCATATCATAGTGTTTAACTTTCAAATTTTGAACTCCAAAAAGGTTTTTGGAAGATTCTATACTTCGATTATTGTGCTAATGTAATTTAATACACATAAATGTAATTAATTTTGTTAATTATATTACATACTAGATATGATCCTCATTTGATTTTTGATTTTAATAAAATTTGATGTCATTTTAGTTGCCTTTAACATGTTTTTTATATATATTTTTCTATATAATATTGAATTTTATCTTGTGCATATAAAATATTAGATTAATTACTCAATAAATAATAAAATATAAAATAAAATGATATTGTTATAAGACGAGAGTATTATAGATATATATATATATATATATATATATATATATATATATATATATATATATATATATATATATATGATTCTAAATACTAAATCGTCAATAAATACTAACAAAATAAGTTATCCAATGTTTGATAGAATAATAATAAATCATAAAAAACTATCATTAAAGGTGATTTAAGTTATGAAAATAATTTTTTTATTTAATATTTATCAAAAACTTTCCCAAGCCATTTATAAATGTTTTAGAATAAGTTTTCTAGTTAGTTAACTAACATAGTTAAAAATAATATTCAATCAAATAAATAATTTTTAAATTAATCAATTATAACAATAATTAAAGGTATATCTAAATCAAAAATTGTATTTAACTTTAACTTTATTTATGTGTAAACCCAATATAGAATTCATTACAAAATTTAATTACAATATATATTTATCTTATCATTTTCTTCAAAAGAAAAAAAACTTACAATAATATATATCAACATAACATAACAATTATTAGTTATCAGTTATCATCTGCATAATATTAACATGTTTCACTCGTTTATGTCCATAAATGGTAAACAACGTTTGTATTCCTTAATCTGATTAAACGAATAATTTATTTAAATTATCTATTTTTAATAAATAAACGAACTTGAGACTGTTTCAACGTTAGTCCACTACCAACCTAATCTTGGCTGTGTTAAACTTAAATACTTAAACGACAAACGAACAAAGCCGAAGATCTACAATTCCTTATCCTCTCTCTCTCAATAAATCTTTGTTTTTGTTGTCAACTTCGCCCCTTTCCCAAGAAATTTAATCAAACGTCCCATCAGTGGCGTAAGCGCTGCCATCACCCTTCGTTTCTTTTAAATCCCGACTTTTAGGAACCATTTACTGTAATCTTGAGAAGGTCGTCGTCAAGTCGTCAAGTTCAGAGGTTTTCATCAAATATTTTCTGGGTACGAATTTCTTTTCGACTTTTTTACGATGATTTTCTGCACAGTTTTGCTAATTTGAAGGGTTCTTTCATCCAAAATATACGAGGGTATTCTTGCTTAATTTTCTGATCATGGGAACTATGTAAAACGGAGTCTACTATTGACTGTTACTTTGTAGAATCCGAACCACTACTGCATCTCAAATTGAGATCTTGGATGTTTTCAGAATGAAACTAATTACTGTCTCATGAATTCGTACATAGTCTTTCTATTTGGGTTTCTTGAGGAAAACGAAAAGGTGCATGGACCCCATATTTAAAGTTTTATAAGCTGTTCAAATCTTTCTTATTCAGAGTTTTAAATCTTGCTTCGTTAACTTCAAGAGCTCATAAAATGCTCCAGTTTTGAATCTTGAAACATTATTTTTGCCAATCGTAAACAATAAAATAAAGTCAAATTATTGACTCATGAAACATTATTTTCGCCAGTTTTGAATATTGATTCATGTATTATTTCTAGCTTCTAGCTAGTCCGTGGGTGGTTATATATCGTTCTTTCTTGCTGTAAAATAAAACGATTATTGCTTCATGAAAACATATGGAAGTCTTGACACGGAAAACCAAAGAAATAAGATTAAAAACCTTAGTTTAAAGTATCAAGAAATCTTGAATATGATGTAATGTGATTTTATCATATAGCTTTCGCCGATATCTTTTCTTTATTTCAGAACAATGTCACGTGGTACCAAAGATCTTGTGTTCTTGTTAGCTATAGCGTTATTGTCAATATGCGCTCAACAATCAGTAGGTCGTGTAACACTTGAAAACGGGGTGAAATCAAAGGTGTATTTATCACCTCAGATAACTCAACACCCGGGATCCGTTTCAAACAAATTCTACTACAATATTGAGTTCCCAAAAGGTCATATTGCTATAAAGAGTTTCAATGCCGAAGTTGTTGATGAAGAAGGGAATCCTGTTTCTCTTCAAGAAACTTATCTCCACCATTGGGTTGCAGCAAGATACTACCAACGTAAAGGTATTAAAAGTCCGAAGTATAACAGTAATATCGGATCCCACCAATCAGATTTCCTTGCTGCTGGGAATGCTGGGGTATGCAATATTGAAAGCGGTCTTTCCCAATTTTTCGGGTTGGGATCTGAAACACGAAAAACATCCACACATGTTCCTGATCCTTATGGAATCGAAGTGGGTAATCCGCTTGAAGTTCCTGATGGATATGAAGAGAAATGGGTGCTTAATGTCCATGCAATCGACACTCGAGGTGTAGTAGATGCAATCGGATGTACTGAATGCAGGTATATATATCATGTAACTAAAACTTTAAAGCATTTAGCTTTTGAGATTGAATTATCTCAAAATTTAGTTGGATTAATGGGTTTTCTTATGATGAAGATGTAACTTGTACAATGTGACGAAGGATGAATATGGTCAGCCTTTGGATCCAAATTATTTGGGAGGTTTATACTGTTGCTATGATGAAACACAATGCAAAGTGAAAAACGGGGTTCAAAGTGTGAAGAGAAACCTTTACATGAAGTACACTGTTGAGTGGGTTGATTGGAGTGACTCCATAATACCTGTTAAAATCTATATATTTGACGTCACTGACACCTGGCAGAATACAGGAATCCATGATTGCTCGGTAACTTACCTCATCACTTCATCTTCACACATAAATTTTGTCAAAATTCAATACCTTTTTAGGAAAATTTTGAAGCTTTTTGTTATATCTTACAGATTGAGTTTGATGTTGAACATAGTATAACAAATGACTACACCAGTACCAGAAGATCAAATGCAAGTTTCCCAATTTCTGGTGATGTAGTGTATGGTGTTGCACACCTACACAGTGGTGGAATAGGTTCTGCTTTATATGGAGAGGTGAATATTTCAGTTTTTTGGAAATGGGTCGTGTTTCTTGTAATCTGGATTGATGTCTAAAGTATCAAGTTATGAACTTTATTCAGGATGGACGAGTTATTTGTTCGTCTAGAGCTATTTATGGGGAAGGAAACGAGGCAGGAGATGAAGCTGGTTATATTGTAGGAATGACCACATGTTACCCTAAACCAGGGTCTATGAAGATAGCTAAAGGTGAAGTTTTGACTTTGGAGTCTAATTACAGCAGTCAGAAGAACCATATAGGAGTTATGGGGCTCTTCTATATTCTTGTTGCGGACTCTTCTACGACGTTGGATTCTCCAGTTCAAGTAAGATTTCTACCCTTTACTCATTAGCGATTTTGCAAAAGAATGTTGTTTAATTTGTGAGGTTGATAGTGGGAAAATAAATAATTTTAACTTGAAAGGATATTGTAATTTAGATGGAACGGAGGACGTATAAAACTTTAGCTTTAATTACAAATATTACACATCGTTCAATCGCTTTGATTCCCGCCATCTAGGTTGTTCTAGTATTAAGTTTGACACTAGCATGTTTTGATTTACATGTGAAAACATTTTTTGCATATGATTATTGGATATTTGTAAGCTAAAAGCTTCGTTTGGAAAACGGTTTTAGTCACATTAAGTTTCTTATACTTTCCATGTACGTAGTCGGTATAGCTCGTAGATACCTCACATATTGTCACCGATTGCATAGTTCTTCAAAGTATCATGACATAAATTTGAAAACATACCTAGTAAAGGAGATTACATATACCATTCTGAGAGATTATTAGAATATCTAAAAGTATTAACATGAATGGATCATCGATGCAAATATTAAAAAGCCAGATATACTTATATGATCATGTTCTTTAGCCTACAAAGGGATTCATGTTTTTAGCCGTTTGTAACATTTTTCTTATGTTTTATGCGTACAATATGTTTTTTTGTAGTTGGAGCATTTTTAGTAAACTTTCTTGGGTGTGGGTTGCAGATTCATCAAGAATCAAAAGTACCGATCTTCTTTTGGGGTGTAGCTGTGTTCGGATTGGCAATTTTTGCAGCTGTTGTAGTTGCTTATAGGCGACAAAGGCAAAGTAAGGATGGGTACCAGTTTATTGCAACTTAAGCAACCTTTCTGCCATATGTGACAATTAGATGCTATGTGACATGAATCGTGTTGGTTGGTAAAACTATACGTTTTACAGACCCGTAATATGTGAAAAATATAAGGATATGTTGCTATAAAATAAAACTTAGTTAAGATGTCACTGTATTCTCACGTTTAGAAGAAGGAATGATTTTGTAATATATATGGTTGGCATGTCAAGTATCACACATAAAAGAGACAATATAATGTATAATAAAATATGGTTTGTTGCATGTGGTGGAATATATAGACATATAGTTTACCACATGTTTGTTTATCTGATAAAGTGTATGTATTTTTGGTTGATGTTCTTTTTAGAGAAGATACTTATAAAGTCAAAGGTTTATGGGGTTACGTTATAAGTTTATTTTCAAATAAGAGACACAAGGTCCAAATAAATCATTATATAAGCTTCAGTTTTTGGTTTTGAGAAATTAAATATCCTCCTAGCTTATGTTCCTACTAATCATTCTACCGATTTAAATGATGACATGTGTCCTTTTACTATACTAAAATATCATTATATTTCATTAAACGAGCATTAAATGTTACACGTATCACCATTTAATTGGGTAGAAGAATTTATAGCAACAAAAAGTAGGAAGATATTTAATTTCTCTTTAGGTTTTGGTCAACCGACTGAAATTGATCGGTTTTGCTTTTTTTTTTAATAGATATCTGAACCAGCACATAATAATTAAAAATTAGAGTAAATTATTGAAATCGTTCCTATGGTTTAGTCAAAATTACACGTTAGGTCCCTAACTTTTTTTTTTTGCATTCGGATCATCTCTGTGGTTTGATTTTGTTACGTTTTTCGTCCCTATGGTTTGGTCAAAATTGCACGTTTGGTCCCTAACGTTATGTATGTAAGGGACGAAAAAAGTAACAAAATCAAACCATAGGGACCATCTGAGTGCAAAAAAAAGGTTAGGGACCAAACATGCAATTTTGACCAAACCATAGAGACGATTTTAGTAACTTACTCTAAAAATTATAATATTCAAGTTTAAATACATTTAATTAATTGGATTACATAATCCGTATATAAGTTGTTTTTCCAAGTCTAAATAATATGGTGTAGACTTGATTTGTTTATGCCATAGCCTTGGATTATTTGTCTGTTTTCAGCTTTCGAAATATTTTATGTTTATCGAGTGCAAAATATTTTAATGATTCTACATTTTGCTACGAATACATATGTATGTTCAACAATACACATAACTCGAGAAAATATACCCTCCAAATTAGCTCTTAACATATGTTGACAGTTGTGTTTTGCGCTCTAGAATTCTTATTGATGGTTGCAACTTTGTTGCCTTGTCTCGTTCTTTCTCATTTGGCAAGATAATTTTTTAGCAATATGATTTTTTTTATAACGATGTTCTTTATAACTTTTTATAAGAATTATTCACTTTCCACTATAATGGTTAACCTATTACCACAACTCGCTTAACCGAAACTAATTGGTTAGGGATTTGTATGAACTGGTTTTTTTATTTTAATCTTTAATCGACCCAAACTGATCCATACATCCCTATTTATAAGGAAAAATAGCAGAGTGATGCTAGGTAATGTTTTAAAAACCGATTTGAACCGTCTGATCGAACCGGTTGGACCAGGAACTGGGGACAAGAGCGGTTCAATAACGATCGATTTTATGTTAATTTCTAAACCAGATCGAACCGGACGATTTCTTCAAAAATCGGATTGAACCAGTATGACACAACCGATAAAAGATCGTTTGAACCGGTTCATTAGACATATATAATTGGATTTCACTTAGTCAGTTAAAAAAACAATCATTTTCTAAAGAAAATTGAACATTTTAGAAGCGGACACAACTCGAAGCCGATGCACACAACTGCCATATCAGTTCAACTAAAAGATCGGTCGAACCGGTAACCAATCATCAGATCAGTTCAACTAAAAATTTGATTTTTAAAACATTGATGCTAGACCTTCAACCTAAGACGTTTATGAAACCCTAATCGCGGTGTATAAGTGATATATGCTAGCTTTACTTACCTAATTCCTTATTCATGCTTTACATTTATAAGATATTTAGAGGGCTTTTTTAAGGTACTCTATTCCATCTTGTAAAGTTGATTTGATCATTGAAGTAACATTCTACTCTTGCATTTAGATTTTGCCTATATGTATCATATTTATACTACATAAATTCAGTCCTACGTCAACCATTGTGTATCCCCCAATAAATACTTTTTTGAACTCCATAGGATTGTATTTATAGTTTTTGTAGTTCCATGGACGATCCCTTTTGACGTTGTATCGGTTTTAGTCATATTTTTCTTTTGTTGTCATTTTCATAATTGTGATAGCCCTACCAAAACCCAATATCAATATCATAATCGCCAAGGAGGACAAACATACCTTATCGTCACTTTGTGCCACAAGTCATAGATTTCATCCTACGTATCATCATTACATACCTAGACGTATCTGAAATAATTTCTTTCTTCAACTTTATAGTTTTGTTTTGGCCACTCATTTGTATAGTGGCAATTTTCTTCACATGTAGTAAGTAACATGGACTTGTCATCACTTAGGTTGCTCCTTTAGTGGTTCTTATACCTTTGAATTCTTATCATGTTTTCGTTCCTTGCTAAACCCATCATAATTTCTAAACTTTCTTGTTAGATAAAAAAACTCATGGAATTTTCTTACCAAGAGAAAACATTCCTCGTTTTTTGGTTTTTTGTAGTATTTTTCTTGAAATGCAAGTGTCTTTTCGGTCTTCTTGTCCTTGGATTTATTCAACCAAGAGAAAACTCATGAACCTTGTAATTGCTCATATAAGAATCTAAATGTTGGTGTTTATAGTTCATGGAATCACATGCTTGAACACAAGGAATTCCAAATATTTCCAAACTCCTACAAGTTCATTATCTTCCTTTTAATTTTTTTAGTGCCCCATAGCTATTCTTAACTTTAAATATATTTTTTAACTATTGATAGTTAATCATGACCTACAATGTATTAAGATTTAGTCCGATACACACGACAAAATATTTTCCAAAAATACATGACAAAGTATTCTAAGTTGTGTACCTTATATCTATAAACTAGTCTCTCAACTTTCTTTTGATTGATAGACAAAACTACATCCTTCCAATTCAAGTTATTACTTTGCATCTTAGAGAATCTATCTATTGCAAATATCCTTGTATCCTCTATCACGGTGAGTAGTGGTTTTGTCCTTATATTAAGTATTATTAAGTTGAAGCATTTTAAGGTAGAATTTTCCACCGGTTTACATCCTCTTTCACTAGAAAAGAAATATATAGTCCAAGTGAGTGGGTATTTTTAGATAAGGTACTCGTTGACTTAATATTTAAGAATAAAAACTTCTTTCATTTAAAAAAAATTCAATGCTAGTAGTTGAAGCACCCAAAAAAAATGTATTATATTCCACCTTATTGTATGCTTTCTTGAATTTGGCATATAGATGGCTAGCATTATTACATGTCCTCAACTAATGGAAGAACGTCCTTTACAGCTTCTATTAGACCCAAAACATATATACAAGTTATAAACTTAGTTAGAACATTAGAAAATGAAATAAGAAAAAATATGCAAAAAAGTAGTGGTGAATGTACCTTATGTTGTGTTTATATAATGGTAAGTCCACCACATGGTAACCCAATAACATATATCAATAATTCAACTAACCACTTCCAGTTTGATTTACACTCTCAATCCACTATATCCCTATCAATTGCAGTAAGTAACTCCTTAGTATTGGCCTTTAAGAAATCATACATCGAATCCAGCTACTCTCATATAGCCATACTTCACTCTTATTTCAAAGACTTAAAGCAAACATAAAACATATGGATTTATGTATTTACATTTGGGTTTACTGAAATACCTACTTCGAAAGTAATTTTGAGATTAGATTTTAATATCTAAATTGCATTATCCTATACACGAGTATAATAGTTAGTTAACTTACCATTTATTATTTACAAGGATTTCTTATTTTTCGTATTACAATCCCATTGATACTTCACATAAAATATTCTTCTTTACATCTTCTGAATGATTTCATTTTAGGATCCATGTTCAACTCTTTAATGTATTGCAAGGTATTGTGTTTAAACTCCATAATGCATGTGTATGTTTCATCAAAACCTTTAATTTGGAATACCTTTCGTTGTTCATCCATGATGTACAAAATAAAAAGGGACATCTAATTAATATTTGTTAGTGTCTCATCTAACTTGTAGAATGTTTGAATCAGTTTTGATAATCTCCAAGGGATATTCACTTGCAACAACACTCTTAGGCAAACAAAGTTATCAATCCTCCATATTTAGATACCTTTCACTAATAGTAGGTCGCATATTGTTCCACAACATACTGAGGTTATGGGTGGTATGTTCAACGCCGACTTTAAGTACATCTTTATTTTATTTCCTTTTCAGTATGAGTGTCATCATCAGAATGACCATCTTCTTTTATTCACATTGGCATAAACCTCTTCTTCGATCAGTTTGACATCAAGAAACCCATATGAAGTGGTTCGATCATAACATAACATGGTGCATCATTATTGTTGTCCTCATTGAATTCTTTGGCATTATCTTCTAATTCTTAATCCACCACAAAACGCTAATTGTGGTCACTTTCTTCTTCAAATTCACTATCTTGTTCCAACTCATCATTGTACGATGTGTTTGTACCTTCAACATGTTAAATGAGTGATGTGAATCCATAATTATTGACGACCATTGACTATAATCGAGAAATTGTAAACAATTTCAAGTAATTTAGTTGCCACATAACTAAGAACATGGTGTTGGTTTTTCTTTTCCAGTAAAAACACTAATTGATCCAATCTTTGACATGAATGTGGTTATACCCAAATTTCCTTTCCACGTAAAGGGAGATCTAATGACAATTCAAAAATATAAGATGTTTCATCTGGATTAGAAGGCTATGGTGGTTGTCAAGGCTAACAAATAAATACCCTAAATATTACACACTAAAATAACGTATAATGGTAGAGGGATCGAATCCATGGAGATTGGTTCAATTTGTAACTCAATTAAAATCGATTTGTAAAAATACTTGTGAAACGATAATAAAAGTAAAAAATGGGGATTTTAGTATTTGTTATAAATCTAATTTTAACTAGCACAAAAGAAACACAAATTAAACTAGTAAAAGGTTGATGAAAATCAATATGGAGTAAATGGTTGACATTGTAATTTCATC